AAAAGACAGAAAGAGCCCAGCCGGGCGTTACTCAGCAGTTGAGCATCGACCTGGGATCTAGGCGATCGGGGTTCGATTTCCCGTCAGGGTACATGCCCGGGTTGCAGGCTCGATCAATGACTCTCTCATCGCTCTCTCTCCCTCTCCTTTCCTCTCTCTGAAATCAATAAAGATATATATATTTTTTAAAAAGACAAAAAGATAATAGAAAACAATAATTCATTAAGTGAGATATGGATTTTCCCTTTGCACAGTGAATTTATCTCAGCCTCTTTTCATGAGCAAACATAGATCATTTTAGTGATTTCCCTGAAATGTAATTAAAATCTGTTCAACATTACCATCTCCATCAAGAGACACTGGTTATTCTAGACTCAAACTGATGCTAATGGCTCAGCACTTGTCAAAGTAAAGAAACAGCTGCCCACTAATGATGCAATGTGTTCTTGCCTTTTCTTTTCTCTCCTGCCCTTTGCTCATGATGCTGCTAAACTAGAAAAGCTGCTTTCTAAGTCTTTTTCTATGCTGTAAATTCTCTTGCTTTTTTTTTTTAAATTTATCTTTATTGTTGAAACTATTACAGATGTCCCCTTTTTTTCCCTATTGACCCCTTCCACCCTGCACCTGCCCCTCAGGCCTTCACCACACTATAGTCTGTGTCTATGGGTTATGCATATATGCAATAAATTCTTTGGTTAATCTCTCCCCACCTACTCCCCTACCCCTGCCTTTCCTCTGAGATTCATCAGCCTGTTCCATGCTTCTATGTCTCTGGATCTATTTTGTCCATCAGTTTACTTTGTCCATTGCATTCCACATAAGAATGAAATCATGTGATACTTGTCTTTCTCTGACTGGCATTGAGGAACCTGGAGAGTATTATGCTAAGTGAAGTCTCTTGCTTTTTGAAGGCTGTTCCACTTGAGGTCCAAACCACTGAGCAGAATTTGTTACGTATTTGTTAGGAGGCATATGGTTTCTGTCCTTTGAAGGAGCAATATGCTTGATAGGCTGCTCCTCAGTGTCTTTAATCTTGTATGGGGGAGACAGAGGACACAAGGCCACATTTAAATGGCCGGTGCCTGCGATTTGGAAGAAAGACTCAGAGGACCAACATCAGAAACGAAGACATTTGGCTTCCATTGACTTACAAAAATTGTGCAGGTTCTGACTCCACAAAGAAGGTGGCCATGGGGAGCAGAGCTCCAGGTTTTCAGGTTCAAACGTCAGGACACTTGGCGCAGAATAAAAATCTGCATGTGATTGAAGAAGATGTTCAGTTACTGTCTGAGCCTTTCACATAGCAGTTTAAAGTGACCATGTACCAATAAACAAAACATGGTAGACACATACAAAGGAATATTATTCAGCCTTAAAAAGGAAGGAAATTCTGACACATGCTACAGGATAAGACTTTATGCTAAATGAAATAAGCCAGGCATGAAAGGACAAATACTTTATGATTCCTGTTCTATGAGCTTCCAAGAGTAGTCAAATTCATAGAAGACGAAGTAGAATGGTGGTTGCCAGAGGGGCTGGGATAGGAGAATTGGGAGTTATTGCTTAATGGGTACACAGTTTCAGTTTTGCAAGATGAAAAATGTTCTGGAGATGGATGAGGGTGATGGCTGCCCAACAGGCGAATGTACTTAATGACACTGAACTGTACATTTAAAAATGATTACAATGGCAAATTCTATGTTATCAGGATTTTACCACAATTAGGAAGCATAAATAAATTTTTGATCATTTTAAATGACTGTATACCACAGATGAAATAACAACAGACCGCAAATGCAGTCTACTCAGAGGAATGTAAAGAAACCCCATGCTGGATCAGGCCAGGGGGCCCTGCAGGTGTGCCAACAGGCAGGACAGGAGAAGCCAGTTGTCTTTGAGATTCCTCCCTTCCCCCCCTCAGAGGCCTTGAGCTGTAGCCCCTCCTTCTTGCTTCCCATGGGAATGCTACCGGCCAATTTGCCCAAAGCCTCCTTCATGAAAGACTGTTGCTGAGAGCTCTTTACTGTGTGGGATGAGGTGGCAGGTACGGGAGAAGCCAATCCTCTCCATAAAGGAGCATGTTGTCTTGGACACCTGCCACCTCTGTCAAAGCCAGAGTCCTCTGGGCACATACGCAGCTGCCCCCACGTGGCCAGAGAGTCACCTGCATGCTCCACCCGACCCAGCTTTCTCCCACGGTGCCCAGCTGCTGAACTTCTTCGAACTCCTTCAAAACAATCAGTGAGCAACTCAGCTCGCAGGGAGTGGCAAGAGTCTAATAGCTAATTTTGTCTAGAGTGTTAAGGGCTAACGAGGCAAATGTGACCTCCCTCACTTTCTTATTTACCCTTCCCAGCTAAAAGTTATGAAACTCTAGGAGTGGAATTCTTGTCACCCCACACAACACGGGGAGGCCGTGTTCCTGCCTTCCAACAGTGGTCTCTGACCGCCCCCCCACCCCCAGGCTTAATTTTAGGCCAGAGTTATGTGTTGATCAAACTTCGGGGTTCTGCTCTTGTCCAGCAGTTTCCTGAAGCAGAGAGTTTGCTCACCATCATTGCCCCTGCAGAGACTAGCAGAATGCCTTCTGTGCCCTGGAAACAAGTCTAGAAATCTCTAGTTTCTGACCGCATGTTGGAAATATGGACATGGGTTTCACTGGGCTTCCCTCTCTTTCTCTGAAACTCACAAGTGCTTTTCAAAAGATTATTTTCTACACTTTCTTTGGGAATGTCAGGTAACTCATAGCATCTGCCTCTATGCCACTTGGGCTAACAATAAAAAAAAATAAAAAAGCATGTGATTTAAATCAATTCTAATGGAAGATAAATAGGAGAGACACCAAATCACATTTTTGCCCTGAGAATCTTCCCCATCACAGTTTGGATATGACATAATCAAGAGGCACAAACAGAACAATTAGCTCAGATGGGTGACCAGTTTTGCATAATAACCAGCTGATCTTACGTCATTTTTCATCCTTTTTAGAACATCGTGGAGCTGGAGAAGGAAAGAATTAAACTTTTATGCAATAACTTAAATCAGTACACCCAACATATTTCTGTTTTTGGCCAAACCCTGACCACAGTGAGTAGTCAAGATTTCTCCATTTCTGGTGTGCCAGGTAAGAACGGGCAGGGAGCGTCCTCGGCAACCTTGTTCGGCTTCCCTTGCCTTGCAGTGCCACACGAACATTCACGGGGCCATCAGTAAGATAGATGTCGAACAAGATATCCAGGCTCTAATGGAAGAAACTGCCGTTTCATCTACAGAAAATAAATCGGAGTTCCTATTAACTGATTACTTTGTAAGTATGGGATGGAAGGAAGTTCCATTAATAGGGAAACTTAGGCAGGTACTGAAGGATTCAGTTTTTAAAAAATTGAGAACAATTATAAAGGAAATGTCTTGTTTTTTAAATGGAAAATACTGATTTTTTTTCATGGTTCATATAAATTAAAAAACAGTGTGGTTTATAAACTAGGCAATGGAAACATGTCTTTGGTGTTCTCTGCAAGGGAAGAAAGTCAAACAGGGTTTTCAACTGAGTCTTCACCCTTGGCCTTCTATGAGAGCAATGCCAGGCACACGTTTCATGCCCTGTAAATAATCACTGCGTCTCACCTTGGTTGTCTATTGCTGCATAACAAATGACCCCCAAACTTAATGGCTTAAAACAAACAGTTATTATCCCACAGTTTCTGTGGGTCAGGAATCCAGGAGTGGCTTAGTTGGGTGCCTCTGAGTCCCTCATAAGGCTGCAATCAAGGTGACAGCCAGGACTGCAGACATCTCAAGCCTCCACTGGGAAACGAAGCACTGCTCAGCTTTCTCATGTGGCTGACCGCAGTCCTCTGGTCTGGGCTGACTGCTGGCCAGGGATATTATTTCCTTGCCAAGTAGGTCTCTCCTTAGGGCAGCACACATGTCAGCCTGCTTTCCCTAGAGTTTTGATCTAAGAGAGACAGAGCCAGAGTGCCCCAGATAGAAGCCTAGTCTTTCACTAGCTAATCTCAGAAGTGACAGCTCATCATGTTTTATTTGTTAGAAGCAAATCAGTAAGTGCAGCCCACACTTAAGCTGAGGGGATTACACAATGGCATGAATCCTAGGAGGTGGGAATAGTTATCAACATTCTTCAGGGTCCATTTCTTTGAAAGACTTGGACCAAATCACAGAGGCCTATTTTGAGGGCATTTGGGTGACTCTACTATGGCATCTGTGCTAAAAACAGATCAGTGTCCCTGGTCAGAGCCCAGGCATCTTGTCTCTTTGCTATCTTGGAGCAAATTCTTTGTCTTCTGAATTCCTAGCAGCTCTTCCCTGGGCCCTCTGCTAGATTTCATTCCGATTTTCAAGGTTCATATTGGGAGGCTTATCTTTCTCTGTATGTAGAACCAACCCCCTGGCCATGTCCTCCTATAGGATTAAAAGTATAGGCAAAGTGAATATCCCAGGATCCATAATCAGGGAGCAAGGGATGAGGGGAGAAAGAAAAGCAGTTATATCTAGGCACAGCAGTGAGTCCAGCCGCAGGGAAGGCGGCCAAGTTTTCCCTTCTCCACCTTCCAAACAGCAGCAAGTGGCCAACTATTTCTTTTTTTTTTTTAATCCTCTCCCCAGGATATTTTTTCTGTTGCTCTTCAGAGTTACTGGAAGGGAAAGTGAGAGAGAGAAAAAAAGAGAGAGAGACGAACATCTGTGTGAGAGAGACACATCAATTGGTTGCCTCCGGCACTCGCCCTCACCTGAGGTTGGGGATCAACCCTGCAACTGAGGTAGGCGCCCTTGGCCGGAATCACACCTGGGACCCTTCAGTCTGCAGGCCTGAGCAAAACTGGCTAGGGCTATTTCTTTAATTGAATTCTTTTTTTCCCTACGCTGGCAAAGGCAAAGTAAATTAACAATAGCAATGTCTTTTCAAAGCAGAAAAAGAGGTAGAGATGGGAGCAGAAAGGGAGATTTGATTATAATAGGAAAGCACTTTCTTTTTTTTCTTCCAAACAATGTAAGTGATTCTGAGATGAAAAAATATACAATAAAATATATCTATTACTTTCTTAAAAGAATAATAAAAATGTCCCTATAGACTAACCTATCAATAAAGTAAGGGTCATTCTCCCTGAAAATTTGACTAGGCTTCTATCAAAATGTAAGGAGGCAGCCACAATGGATTCTCTTTCATTGACGTGCCCGTGGGAATTTTTGGTTTCTATGAAACTTCAGTGCACCAGAACTAACGACTACATATCTGTTGTCTAAGAGAAAGGGCTGTATCTTCAAATAAATAAATAAGATTTTTCTTACTATCCTTAAAGCAAAATGCCCCCAAAGTCTGACTTTGTAGTCATGGCAATAGGGGTAGAGGGACTTTTATCTAGTGCTATGAAATTTACATGGACAAGAGGTAAGACAGGAGAACTATCTGAGTACAAATTTTGGAGGGCTGATGACCTGTGTGAAAACATTTATAAGGTCACTATAAAGGCCATGTTCAAAATCATATCTGTAGTTTTATATGCCTCGTCCACTACTACTCTTCTTCCTAACAAATCTTTGGAAGAGAGGAGGAATTTAAGAAAGCTAAAGGATACTCCATCCTCAAGTTGATCCAGGGGTGATCTATCCTTAGAGATACTTTTTGAACAATAGGTGCCCCCAAGCAGACCAAATGAAATCTTCGACTGGTACGGGAGCCAGGTTATAACGTGCATTCCTCTAGCAAGGAAGGACTGAGGGTTGGAGTTAAGGCACCCTTGTGGTTTCGTTAGAGGTCACCT